ACTACTTGTGTACTGGGAACCAAGTACGTCTTACTGTTAACAACTGTAATGTTGTTACCAGAATATTATAAAATATATAATAAAATATTTTCAAAAGTTTCTTAAAATTCTTATACGGGATAGTTATAATTTATTATTATTACTTACTTTTAATCATTTCATCCTCATTAGCTTCAAAATCAAAAGGTTTATCATCATCAACAAATTTATATATTTCATAAGGTACTTTTTTTCCTACATCATTAGAAACTGGACGAGATGAGAATAATAATCCAAAAACTGAATTGAATGGACCGTTATCACATTGACCTGTCCTGGCAATATAATTTGCATATGACTGTGCAAAAACATCCAACTAAAGATCATATTATTGTATTAATTACGTTAATATACTAGTAGTATAAAAGATAGTTTTTAAATATAATCTTGAGCGATTTTAATTAAATGTTCAAAAATATATGTAGTATAATAAGATATATGACCATTAGTTATGAAGCTATTTACATTTTTATAACTAACGCGAGAGTTACAACAGGTGAATCGCAGGTTTAAGTTGTCATTTGAATTATTAAAATTAATAAACCCAACCCAACCTTATTATGTATTGTATGTCATTATGTATGTCATTTCAAAATTTACTGGAACGGAGGAAATTTTTTTAACAGCCCACCATTTTACAAAGCCGCTTGTTTCATTCGATTCATTTATTAATACCTTAACTCTATTACACTTAATATAAAAAAATTATCATGACAGATATTTCGAAAATCATTTAGACGATAATAAATTAATAATTTTCAATGGAATAAAATGTTTATAAAAATAATTAAAATAGATATTCGATAGTTTAAAATATTCAAAAATTCCCATTACTAGTAAAAACTTATGATGAATCTGATTACGGTGACAAAGAGAAAGATTTTTAAAAGGAAGCTTATTGTATATTTTGAATAACTAAATAGGCAATATTAAGTATCATAGTCATTGAATACAAATTAATTTTCACTACATTTCTTAGATAAATTGTATTTTATTGAAGAACGGTTGACTTAAGGTATGGTTCGATCAGCAAGAGTGCAATTGATCGACCTCAGTTTTCAAATGTTTGTATTGCTACCCTCAAATGTCGTCTAAATGTTCTATGGACACTAAATTAATATAAGATACTATGATAAGTTTCCAAAAGCTAATAACTTTTTACTTATTACTATTTATTTAAAAATTATTTACTTCATTATTTTGTTTAAGAGGTTCTACACCATGCCAATTTCTAATACTATTTATTGAAGATAAATATTGTCTTTTTATTTTAGAATGCATGTCCATATCATGTCCCATTCCTTCATAGTAACCCATAAACTGTGAGTGATCATGTTTTAAATGTTTATCAAATTCGGACCATGCTTTATCTAAGCTGTACAAAAAATGTTTTTTTAAGACTTTACAACAATTTTTAATTTCGATACGAGAATAAGTATGTATTAATTTTACTATGATTTGTTTATTTATTTTTTTTATAAATCTGACACTTTACCTACCCACAGAGAGGGATTAATAATGACAACTTTTTTACAAAAAATAAACTTTTTCAACTTAACTTTAAAAGTGTTCCGGAAAGTCTGACACTTTTATATATATCTTAAATTAGAGCTAATGTAATATGCTTTATCGTGGAAAAAACAAATTTCGGACTTTATTTTGTCTTCACGGTTAAAATGGCTACCGAATGATATTTTTATGTTAAAATTCTCGATTTTATATTTTTAACTTTATTATGCTATAACTTTTTGAAAAATGTATGGATCAATACAATTTTTTCATGAGAAGTACTATTTATGTACATCTTTCATTCGACATACTTTATCTTAACCAGGATATAAATAAGGAAATAGGAGATCATATAGCTTTTAGAATAATCCACCAATTTTAGCTTCGATGCGAAGCTGAGAAGGTATTGGTTTTACTAAGATGTGTTTTTTTTTTTTTAGTGTCTGTTACCACTTTTTCTCAGCTCTCACCGAACCGATTTCTTTCAATGATACGTCAAAAGATCACAAATCGTATCTAGTCGAAGACATTACCCTTAAAAATTG